AAAAACGCCCATAGGCGACAATTAAAATGCTTTTACTGCTCATCAGTTTAGTGTTATCAGTGATTAATGGCCCTAGAATTATTGCTCTCACTCCGATGTTTGCGGCGATATGTAACATGTGCGACACAATAGGCGCAATCGTCGTTTTCGTTTAAAAAAAATTTTATGCTTTATTTTTTTTTTATGATTCTTTAATTTTTATATTTCTTTTTTTTTTAACACACAACTTTATTGCTATTACATGGGGGGCTAAGAAGCCCCCTATGGGATAGCCAATTTACATGACAGGTCCTCATAATGGAGACATCAGTGGTCTCCAAGACCCCTAATGTCACTTAGGGACCTCCAGAGAAGCTGATGAAGCAGAGATCGGCTTCATCAGCTTCTCTAGCTGGAGAGTGACACTGAATGCAGGAAGTAATGTAATATACATCACTTCCTGCACTCGGGGACTGTACAATATTCCCGTTAAGGATGGGAGGTGGAGCTCAGCTACGGAATCCCCATTCCTAGTCACTTCACACAGGACAGGTGGAAAGGATGATAAGTAAAATCGCCACAGACGTTAAGGCATCATCGCCCCAAACTGCCCTACTCTATAGAATAGGTCAGGTACTCGGATAAACTCAGTAAGCCGAGTGGATGGGGGAGAGGTACGGTTCTGGAGGAGGTGCACACAGACTTGTAGGCAGAGGCTGGCGTCCGGATTGATTGCTGGAATGCCAGACTTTGATCTCCTGTCACAGAGCCGTGCCGGTCCCGGCCGCATCGGGCACAGCGTATCTCGGGACCGGCAAGGGCAGTGACAGATGCTCATACAAGCGATTGAGTGTCCCTAGAGACGCCCGATCACTTGACTGTGTTAAGCTCCTGGCCGGCCGTGTAATTACAACGGCCTGCCGGGAAGCTGCTCGTCGGGCTCCACCGTCCACTCGTCACAGACGAGTGGACGAGTGGATTTTTCGAGCCCTGTATATATATATATATAAATACATACACACACACACTATATGTATGGTAAGGCAATAACAACTGCACCTATAGTTCTGTTACTTGTCCTATCTACAGCACACCGCCTGTATGACGTGTCGGCCTGTATGACGTGTCGGACACTCATATGATAATCATAACTCATAATCACAACTCACTGGTTATTAGTTTCTCATCATTCCCATGAAGAATAGTCTCTGGTGTTAACTTCCATGTAGGCCAGTGAAAGGGACGTCTCCCTCTGTAGCCAGTGTTCTGTATACCTCTAGTCAGCATTATAATGTCTCAGACACAGATTCTTATCAGGTAGGCACAAGTCTTCACCGCGACACTCGGCACATCGGCCTCTCTCTTTCTCTCTGGGAGGTGCCATTGCCGCAAATAACCGCAATCATTCTGTTGGTGGCATAAGCATCTTGGGGGCAAGTGACTGCAGGCTGATCTCCACAGGTCCTCCTGGCAGGTCCACATGGCTAAAAATATCCTCCTCATGCTCAGAGATCCACCGGAGAGAAAGAAACGTAATCCTTCCTCCACTCTATGTAGCCTGGGAGCAGTAGTCCAGTGTTGCATAGATTAACATTGTCTCTCTCTGTCCTGAGACTTCAACTTCCATAAGTCTGTTAGGCTCCCAGGAACCCTCCAGCACAATTTTGCTGACACTGTCCTTCCTTCTCTAGGGTGGCTACTTTTGTTCCCCATGGTCCCTGTGTGTGTTGTAAAGTAGCCACCACTCCAAGCTCACTCCTGTGATGGACTACAATCTCAATACAAATTAGTAAACTAAACATGAGTTTATAGTCCATCATGGGAGCGAGTTTGGAGAGGTGGCTACTTCGCAACACACACAGGGACTATGTGGAACAAAAGTAGCCACCCTCCAGAAGGAAGGACAGTGTCAGCATGAATTCAGAGATGATTTGAGGACCTACAGCCACGTGATACACAAATGAGATACAATTTAATAATAGTTAAGGTACATGACTGCATTTTTAAGATTTAACTCCTGAGTTTAGAGTCACTTTAAAACCCAACACTAAATTTTACCTATTTCTCTCCGGTCTTCTGCTTCCTCACGTAATGTAACATAAACATCACTGGTGTGTTTAGGTTGCTTTAGGTTAGTGAGCAGCAGGTAGTGAGGGAGGCAGATAAGTAAAGGGTAAAGTTAGTGTTGGGTTCCGCTTCAACGTGTGTACTTAAACAGTTTACTTCTTTACTATTAATGGAAAAGCATAAGGATACCCTATACAACAGTCACTGCGTATATGGGATATTTCTGTCCTGTTGGCTTCAAGGATAATCAATAGACGAATGAAAATTTGTCAAGTGAAATTGACAGATAATAATTTCTTATATGTGGTTTGCAGCAAATGTATGTATAGTTTACTTTATTCTGTACTACACTTTCTAAAGCCAAATAAATCATCATATTATAAAAAAAAAAAAAAATTTTAGGTTTTATATGGTTGTCTGTTTGTGTTACAGGTATAATCTTGCTGCACAGGAGCTGGTTCTTCGGACAAGAGGAGTTCGTAAAGAAAGTGGCTGGAGGCTACCAAATGGAAAGCTTGCCTCTTTGGATGACATCTCCGTCTTTGTTATTCCGCTAAGTAAAGAGAGCAGTTGAACAAAGGAAAATTTGTTTAATATGTTTATGCTGTTTATAGTGGCCATAAGAATGGTACATTACCTCAATAGCATATTCCGGAAGCACAGCAAATGCAAAGCACTTTAACATAGAACCCCTTCCCAAAGACTTTTTTTTTTTTCAAGCTTATATTTTCTTATTTAAATGTATGTAACAGGTTTGCAACTGCTTGCAGTCAGCCTTAAAAGCACATGGATTACATGGCAAATGTAAGTAAATTCTAAAAAGTAAAGTATACACTGACTTGATAATAAAGAATCATAATTTTTGTAAAATAATGACCTACTTGAATGCTTTTGTATCTGCCATGAAATGTTGACATGTAATGCATATACTCAGTAAGATCATAACACCTATAGATCAAAAACTAAAATACGTTTTTATTTAATGGGGAATACAAATAATCATATTCACATATAAACATTAAAAGTGTATATTTCCCAAAAAGTTTTTTCTTTAGTTTTGGATAGAGTGGGGAAGAATAATAACTCCCGATAAGTATTGCTGCAGTCGTAGGCTCTGTTGGAGAGATCCTTCACTTGTCTGGAAAAAAGGTTCTCCACAGGACATTAAGGGAGAACTATGAGGTGAGTGATTTTCAATCAACCACATAGTTCGTGCCGACGTGTGACAATAAAACTGTCACAGGTCGGTTCTATAGATCGGGAAGTGAGCGAACGCATACCATTGCTCGCTCACTTTCCAATCATCTCCCTGCAGAGAGTGGATTTCCCCCCTCCCTGTTCCGATCCCCCAGCGCTGAGTGGAGAAACGCATTGGGGAGGGGGCGGGCACAGCTGGCTCTGCCTCTAGATAGGCAGAGCCAGCTGTCAATCAGCCAGCTGAGTGGATCTCAACAGCATTGTCGGGATCCGTCCCGGCTGCGGCGATATTGTTATACAGTAAGCAATAGCTTGCTATATACTGAGCTTTGGGTCAGGGGAGGACACTAGAATATGTCCTCCCGTGACCCTTAAGAGAACTATGGAATAAAAAGGTTAACCCATAGTTCTCTTTTAAGGGATAGCTCTCTAACAACAACAACACAGGCAGATTGCTAAGTTACTAAGTGCTCAAACCCCTGTCAGCTTTTTATTGTTGTATGTTGCAGATTTTCCCGTCTTGCCAAAAAGATGGCTCAAGTGCAGAAAGTGAGGGGGAAATCTCCCAGATAGCAGTAAAACCTGACAAGACCTCTAACCTTTCCCAATTCTATTGAAACCCCCCCAAAAATGGGTATATATACATTTGTTTCAACTGAAGCCACAGGCCCGCAGTAATAATATTATGTAGTATAAACAGGCAACTGTAGACAGGAGATTCCTCTGCTCTGCACTGCCTACCTAGTTTTGGATGGGTACAGCATTTTCATCTTCTGCTCAAGCAGCCAGTAGGTGCAGGCACAATATACGGAGAGAAAGCTAAGAATGGGCTGACTAAGAAAACGGTCTGCATCTGGCTGGATAATAATACAAAGTTAGCAAGCTGACATAGACCCCACCAACATCTTTCTCACAAAAAGCTCATTGTAATTTTGCCACAATGAGTCTCTTATAAAGGTACAAATCCATCTGTAATTAATAGAGTGCATAATATAAGGCAATGCCCAGAATCTTGTCAAAAGGTCATAAGTCCTTGTAACATCCTCAATCAGACCTTGTATAAATGATGCCCAGTTGCTGCCATTATCCAAGCTTCATCCCCCAGAGCATGAAAATGAATGTTGTACAGAATTTGAGCATATGCCGTCGGATTCATGTTTTTGTGCATAGAGGCTTAAACAGACGAGCGATGATACACATTACAGCAGATGAATGAATGTGTGTGCATGCCCACCACTGACATCGGTGCCAAGTGGGCTATTTAAACCTGAGTCCTGCAAAGTCTCATTGCTTAATGTACTCCTGTGATCTCTGATCCTGAACTTGTACCTGACCTTCATAGCTGACCCAACTTTCCTTTGACCTGCTTTTGGATTTCTCATGTCCATGCGTATATTTTGGACTTTATCTTTGTGGGTTGAATGCAAACAAGTGTTCTGCAAATGCTAACATTACTTTAGCACTAAATGTCTGCAAAAACTCTGTTATAAGCAACAGTTCATTTAAAGCAAGTAGAATGTAATCAGCGCTTCACTCATTACAGTTTAAGATCACTTCATTTAAGCTTCATGAGGTAGAAGCATAATGTCACAAATGCTTACAGCAGTTTTGAACACACACAGCTTGTGTCATCAAAGCATTGGTTGCATCAGGACTTGGAGGTTGTACCTAATGTGAAGGATGCTATTGTGTAAGAAACTGCCATGTTGTTTACATTTGCTGAGAACATTCCAGGCTTATGTCCTCCGTGTTGGTTCATATAATCATTTAAATGTTCCCAATGGGCTTAGAAATTTCTAAAAATGCCTATGAGGTATACAAGAAGGCATACAAGAATCCTGGAGACCTATAAAAGGTGTCGGACACGTGTCTGTGAGCGGGCTACTTGGAAAATAAAATAATCACAAGCAGACATACTTTTCTCAATATATCTGCGCTCCTAGGCTTAATCTTACCCACCTAAATTAAATTATCCTCATAAAGCAGCAGGTGTGCTGGTGTATAAATTACACTACATGTATCAATAAAATCCACGATCACTGCGCTAATAAAACGACTCTAAATATCCCAAATTCAATACACAAAGTAAAAAAGATCATAAATAAAACAATGACACAAAGGGTTTGATTTACTAACCTTATAAACACGCCACAAACAAGTATACACCTCTGTAGTGTGTTCCCTCCCAGCATGATCTATGGGTGGAATCTAAACACCTTTGTAGTGTGTACACACCCAGCAGGTGTGTTGTGCAAAGCCAAGCATGAATTGCAAGGTGATGTTGTGTAAATTAGCTCTATGTTGTGTTGCTTGCGTTGATGAATGCAGGAATGTAAATGCATTAACTAACCATTTTTGTCTAAACTGTGAAGCAGCATTATATATGCATCATGTGCATGATTTTTCCATATATGGCATTAGTGGAAATATGCTTTTAGAGACTTTTTGGTTGATAAATACGTTTTGCTGTGTAAAAATCACACGCACCTAGTGCGTGCGTGTGTTTAGGTTAGTAAATCACCCCCATAGTGTCCGTATTTAAATGTGTCAAATCAGCATGATAAAGTGCTTCCCAATAGTGCCAGTGTAAACAGTACAAAAGTGCAATCCTTATTTGAGATCCTCCAGAATCCATTAATAAAGAAACTTTGGGCTTTTCTTAGTACTGCCCTCACTCACCAGATTTGATAGACCAATACATATTGGTCGGGTAGCATTTATAAATAATTTTCAGAGTGTAGTCACTCCTCACAGATATCTCCTCTCCTCCGATCAATATTCAAATTCAGGTAATTTTCAGATAAATGCCAGATTTCCCATGTCAGCAACATTTCATAAAAATCTCTCTTCCCATTGCCAATAGTATTCATTGCCAATGATTTCCCCATACCCATGCTACCCCATTTAGTATGCTGTGATGGTGCTGCTGGAGATAATGCCCTGTACTATGGATCCTCATACTGAACGTGGCTGAGACATGCTGCAATGTGTACTGGGCAACCCCCATTGCACACCACGCTCTTCCCTCCCCGAACCGGCATATTGTTTTTTTGCCAGCGGTTTCTGCCCCTGGCTATAGTGTTTGGCCTTAGATTTTGTTTGAGGTGGCTGCCAGCTGCACTCAGCACGGCAGTGGCGCTCAGTACCGGAGTAGCACTGCCTTACTTTCTGCTGGGCGGTGTGGCCATGCTATGTGCTGGGGGTGGGTCTCTGACTGGCCTTTTCCCTACTGTCGGCTGCCAGGTGATGACATCATAGATGCTAATTTCCGTGCTTCCAGTGGCATGTGGTGATTCCTTAAAAAAGGAATGTTGTGGACCAACATGTGCAACAGCTGAATAAGGTGATTCCAGTTATGACGTTACCTTCCTTTAAGGGTCTGACGCACAGGAAAAAGGAATACGTAGTGAGATCCATGTACCCCTATCACTGGATCGCCTCTGCAGCTTTTTTTAGCCATGGCCTTAATGTCTCACTGAATGGGCAAAGCCCTTGCACCAGGGATTGACCAGTTGGTCCCCAGACTTCAATACATGTGTAACTCATCACTGGATACTGAACCTCTGATCTCTAAACTGTCTGTGTCTGCGAGTGTTATTTAGTGCCCTCTACGGTTCAAATGTTTGGCCTCCAGACTTCTAAGAAAGCTCTAACAGACCTGCCTTGTATGGGAGACAGTTTGTTTGGAGCAACCCTGGATGACCATTTAAAAAAACTCAGAAGGGGCAAGAGTAAGGAGCCTTGGGATAACAAATGCTTTTTTTGGCTCCAGGGCACCTCTGATAACAGCCCAAATCCAGCAAGTGCCCCCTTCCTGGCAGGCTAAAGTGATCCAGCCCAGGACCGCCAAGTCCACAGAAAAGCCCTCTTCTGCATGAATGTCTGCCCCACCTGTTCACCCCTGGGGGACGTCTACACTTGTTTGTGGATTGCTGGGTGTCTCAGATTTCGGTCAATAGGTTCATGAACTGATCAATAGAATTTTATTCCCCTCCTCCAGTCCGGTTTCCCAGCATATCTTTGAGAGCTATGGCTGGCGGTGTGGAGTATACTTCAACTGGTGGTAATTGTTTCAGCTCCACCTCCAGAAAAACTCAAGGGCTTCCCTTCATTCATTCTGGAGTTTCATTCTGGACCTCAAACACGTTTCGTCAAGGTCTGAAAGTTTAAAATGGAGTTTGGTGGTGCCCTCTCTTTATCAGGGGGATTTCCTGGCTTTGATCAACATCAAGGACATGTGTCAGCATATTCCAGTTTCCAGGTCTTTATAAAAATTGGTCTTAGGTTTCTGGTGCAGTAATGTCACATCAGGTTATGACTCTAAATGTAGCTATTATAAGGACTATTGTTTTATTTACATGTTTCTACTGTGTGTAAAAAACGACAACTGTAAAATAAGAAACAAAACAGTTGTGGGCAAAATGTAGCTAAAGTAGGCCACCTAGTGGTATTAGATTATATAGCATTACTTCATATAGGAGTGTATATCAAATAATAAGTTATTATTATAAATATTATTAAGGATTTATATAGCACAAACAGCACTGTACAAAATAACAGGCGATAGTAGAGATACAATACAAGAGGGTTAGGAGGACCCTGCTCATGAGAGTTTACAATTACAGTAAACTCTCTGTTAATCCGGAATTCAACTAACCAGAACTCTTATC